GCGGCGGACGCTCACCTCACCAGCCAGGTCGGTCCGCCGCGCGCGGATCAGCACGGCGGGCGAACACGGGGAGCGTCGCAGCGCGGGGTGAACGTGTCTGACGCGTCAATACTAAGCTGTGCGTGCGACAGTTGGTGCTGGGCGTGTTTGCGTATCCACACTGTAATCGGGAGAAGCTGCGACGCACTCTATCAAATCGAGTGTCGAGAAACGCTGAGAGCACGTTAACGCCACGCAGATGACTCAGAGCTACTGGTAGTTTATTTCGGAGGCGAATGTGGGGGACCGACCGCTCGTTTTGTTCGGTGTTGACCCGTGACGTGCTTGCCGCTGGCGGCCGCCGACTGCAGCCTCTGCACCGTCACGCCCTGCGACTTGTCGCGCCCCGGCGCACCCCGTCCACCGCCGCGGGCGCCCCACGCGCCGCCGCCGGCGCTGACGCCAGACCCGTGCCCAGATCACGATGCACCTCTTCGAGCCGGATTCCGCGCCGACCGGGCTCGACCTGGGCGCCATCAACGTGCAGCGGGGTCGGGACCACGGCCTGCCGCCCTACAACGCGTGGCGGCGCCACTGTGGCCTGCAGCCGCTCGCCGACTTCGCCGCTCTCCGCCAGATGGCGCTGCAGCCGGCGCAGGTCGACCGGGTGGAGGAGCTGTACAGGTGCTCACGGCCGGACACAGGACGTGCTCCGGGGCGTGCTCCAGGACGTGCTCCGGGGCGTACTCCGAGGCGTGCTCTGGGGCGTGCTCCGGGGTGTGCTCCGGGGTGTGCTCCGGGGCGTGCTCCGGACGAGGAGGGACGGGAGGAAAGCGGACGGTCTTGACCGTGTCGGAAAGTTTGGGTGCGAACCGTTATGGGGCCTTGGATCTATGGGACTGAACAAAGCTCGGAACCTCCGTACTTTTTTCGTGGGGAGGTGATCTTGCACTGAATCTTCGTCAACGCGTCGACAGGAATGGCCCGATTGTGTTAATGTGGATGTGACATTACGCTATCCTACAAATCAATATCGCTGGTGTTAGCTTCTAGTAGGACACTTCGCTTACCGCGCCTCCGGGGTACTTCTATGACCGTGGTAGAAGTTTGCACTGTATTTCGCAATATTGACTGTTGGTGTGACTGACTGTTGACTGTTCGTGCTTTGCTATGTTCGCGTTGAAACCCAGTTGATCACATCGCACTTCAAGCCTGGCTAACATCGACATAGCTCACTCCACACGTTGATTTGTTTCTATGTTTCCTGATGCGTTTAGGTACAGTGACGAAAACCACACAGTGCGGCAGGGTATCGGATCAAAAGCCACCATTGCTGTGTATCTTGAGCGAGCGCGTCCGCATCTGCCCATCCAGGTCAATCGACCACGTGGACCTATACGTGGGCGGCCTGCTGGAGCCGCCGCTGGAGGGCGCTGCCATCGGGCCGACCTTCGCCTGTCTGCTCACCGACCAGTTCGTGCGCATGAAGACGGGCGACCGGTTCTGGTACGAGACCGGCGACCCCCTGCTGCGCTTCTCGCCCGGTGAGTGTACCCCGAGGAGCCGGCGGCCACGACGCCGCCGCAGGGGGACGCATGCTCGGCGCCCCGGCTCGCTGAACACCATCATCTCGTGCTTCTCGCTTGGCACTGCTCGCGTTGAGGGTGTGGTGTCAGCGCGGGCCGGGGCGGTGTGCTGTACCCCGATGAGAACTGCCGAGGTTAAATAACAATTATATTGAACATCCGCAGACCATAGCTGTCAAGGTCACCGAGATGACACCATACCTTTATATAAACCGGGGACACTGGTTTTGGAACGAGCGCGTGGGGCCGACGTCGTTATGTTAACGAAGCCATATACCATAGATGTTTGCCCAAAATGCATAGTTGTTGTATATCCCTGTTGTAATCTGTATTCGTTGTACTGTATCACTGTTGTAAATCACTGTTGTACTGATGCGTTTGGATAGATTTCGTGTCACTGCAATGCACGGTCTCCTGCGTATGAGGTTGTAAACCTGCCAAATGATCAGGAAAATTTGACCTATGACCTGACATAATGGAGTCGGTCATTGGCCAGCCAACGTATAACTTGCCACCAATCGCGAGATCTCGTTGAGACCAATCCACTAGGTTTTTTCTAAGCTCATCTTCATGAGTTTTGAAGCGGCAGGGGTCGCATCGCCCCCCCCTCTATCTGTCCGCGCTATGAATAACAGCAGCTCTGGGAGAGGGTGGGCGTGAAGACAAAAGTGGTCCTAACTGTGCAGTGAATGCGATCAGAATGTCGTGAAGCCGTTAACCGACTGTCTCGTCGCCGTTTAGACCAGCTGCGCCAGATTCGGCGCGCCAACCTGGCCCGCGTTCTGTGTGACACGTCCGACCGGCTGGAGAAGGCGCAGCCGCGGCCGCTGCTGCTGCCATCTGCCGACAACGCGCCAAAGCCGTGCGGCTCGCTGGCGCTGCCCGTGATGGATCTCTCTTACTGGGAGGAGCCGGCGCCGCGCGCCACGACCTGCAGCTCCTGCTGACCACGTGACCTGGGTGGCACCCCAGTGGGGCGCGGCACGCGGCGTGGTGCGGTGGACGCATCTGGCTGCCATCGATGACTCACTTATGACTCGCGGGGAGGGGGCGAGGAGGGGAGGGGAGGGGGACTTGCAGCACAGGTACCGCCGTGAATAGAGCCGGGAGAAACAGCGCCATAACACGAGCATTCGTCCCCACCTCTGGTGCAGACGCCCACTCGGTAGCGGCCTGAAGGCGCTCCGGTACCCGGTCTTCCTCAGCAGCCGGTGCTGGTGTAGCATTCCTCCCGCGTATACCGCATATCCCGGCGTATCTTTCAGTGGTCCGAGATTTGTCACTGGCTCTATTGGGGCTGCAGTCTTTCGTCGAGACGTTGCCGTTGGACGCTGGTTGCCGGGAAGTAAACCTATCGAAATGTGACCACCTGGGCATGCCGTGCCCACAAAAGCCGCGTAGGACGTTGAACCTGCGGTGCAATGCGCAGACACACTGCCAGATTTTTGTTCGATGCAGCTGTTTGTACGAGATTGAAATCATACGTTGTTGATTTGTGTCATCAGTTTCAGCGGACTCGCCTGCTTTTTCCCTCTGGTCTGTGCAGGAAGCTCACGGACGCGCGGTCGTTTTGTTACCCTTCGAGCAATACTGCAGCGACGGTTGATGGCAGTTGTCCATCATTCCTCTTCTCCAGACGGGTGTGTTCGGCCCAGTTCCGGCAAGTCGAGCGGGCAGATGAAATGCACATTGTGTTATTGCAGTGGCAACGATACTGCATGCGAATCAGCGCGCTGTCTTGATATGATATTATGTCCATGGCCGTGTTCCCGCCATGTTCTTTCGGTTAGCGATGTGCCTGAACGCCCCAATACACAAACACTAATTGTGATAAGCTCGGGTGCTTCTGTTTTTGCCAGCTCGCGGGTCTCACGGCGTGAGGTCCACCGTCCCGAGCCGCGGCTCCAGCGCGGGAGCAGGCTGCGCGGCCGGCCGGTGTGACCGTGGTGCAGGCCAGCGAGGCGGCGGACAGGGGCGGCCCCCTCGGTCGGAGGGTCGCGGGCGGCGACGCCAGAGGGGGCGGGAAGGCGGGGCGGCGGACAGGGGCGGCCCCCTCGGGCGGAGGGTCACGGGCGGCGACGCCAGGGAAGGCAGAACCTCCCCCTCGGGCAGAGGGTCGCGGGCGGCGACGCCAGGGAAGGCAAGACGGCGGACTGGGACGGCCCGCTCGGTCGGAGGGTCGCGGGCGGCGACGCCAGGAAAGGCAGGACGGCCCACTCGGTCGGAGGGTCGCGGGCGGCGACGCCAGGGAAGGTGGGACAGCGGACTGGGACAGCCGCTCGGTCGGAGGGTCGCGGGCGCCGACGCCAGGGAAGGCAGGACAGCGGACTGGGACGGCCGCGGGCGCCGACGCCAGGGAAGGCAGGACAGCGAACTGGGACGGCCGCTCGGTCGGACGGTCGCAGGCGCCGACGCCAGGGAAGGCAGGACAGCGGACTGGGACGGCCGCTCGTTCGGAGGGTCGCGGGCGGCAACGCCAGGGAAGGCGGGGCGGCGGACTGGGACGACCCCCTCGGTCAGTGTCGCCAGGCGCCAGGCGAGGTGGCGGGAGTCGACCACCAGGCTGGCACGAGCCGGGAGCAGGGCGGGCATCGACCAGTGTTGTCAGTGAGCGGCCAGGATTTTGATATGGGAAAATGGTCCAGTTTCATTTCTTCAAGTCACTGGCACTTAACTGTCTACAGTTACTAACGGTACAACCGATGAGTTTCAATCAAATCTTTCACGTGATATGAATTATTCCTCCCCGCGATTTGTGTGTCTGCTAGGTTTACTCGGTCCTCCGAGGGCGCAAACTGACCGTCAGCTGTCAGCTTGCAAACCTTCCGGAATTTTGTTAATGGCGCACTAAGTACCGTCAGCTGTGTCTCCCAGCACGACGAACCTAGTGTCTGTTCCCAGACCCCTCCTCCGCATCCAGCAGAGCGAACAAACAGCGGGCAAGCTTAACAGGTTTATTCGCAATAAGATTACACCGCGGCGATTAAAACGCGCGAGTGCGCGCACCGCCCGTCCTCACTTCATGATTCGCCGAACCAAGAGCACCACACACGTTCAGTAGTGAAGCCCAGGCCGCAGCCGGGCGCGAACCAGGCGCGGTCGCAGCCAGCGCGAGCGCATGGCGCGCGCCGCGTTTTGGCGCCAGCGCCAGACTCTGCCGCGGCCACCGGCGGGCCCCAGCGTCGAGCGAGAGTCGACACTCAACGGCCGGTCCGCTCGCCCCTGTCAGGGGCAGAGGATCCGGTTCCGCCATGCGCTCTCGGCCCTCCGCCGCGCGCGCCGGCGGCCGCCGTCCACGCGGCGGCGCATCCACGCGATCAAGTGACGCGTCCACACGGCCGCTCAGCTCCACACGTCCACACCGCGGCGGCGCTGGCCGGCCGCCGCGGTGTCTCAGCCGCGCAGGGTGTGGAGGGAGCGCGTGTGTGAGGGGGGGGGGGGGGGGCAAACCGAACAGCACAAGAACACGCGGCGCGCGCGCCCGCCGCCCGCCGCCGTGGGCGCCGCACCAATCCGTCAGTGGAATCATTGGTTACAAAGGGCCCTAGTGCGCCACCAAGGCTAACTGGAGGCGGCGTCGGCCGGCGGCGGCGGCTGCGGGGCGGCGCCGTCCCGAACGCCGTACTCCTGCAGCGTCTGAAACGAGCGCCGTCGTCAGGGCGGCCGAGCTCCGCGGACGGGGAGGCGTCCCAGCCCGAGAGCTGGGTCAGCCAGCCGTTCTGTGAGCGCAGTGACCGAGGCGGGAGCGGTCGGAGGCCAGTGCGAGCCGCCACGCAGGGTCAGCGGCCGAGCGGGAAAACGGCAACCTGGGCTTCGGGCGCCGCCCTCCGTCGGCCATTGTGAAGCCGATCCCTCACCAAGACATCACAATACCGTGGGATCCACCAATACCAAACGATCAATGCTTCACACCCATCCACCCCAGGGTGTTACACGTATCCGGTTCACACCATTACTGCCGCTGCGGCGAACGGCGCCACATCCGAGGAGTCATTCAACCTAGTTACATGAAACACACGGCCTGCTATATTATTCCCACGGCGGCTTCGTGACTCCATGCCGCACACTGCCATCCTCGGGGCCGGCTCCTCAGACATTTGCCTATCACAACTATGGCACCAGGGACTCTCCACACACGCCACGGCAGCTTATTATGCTTCTCCGCGCCCACACAATGCGGGGGCCGGGGCCGGGGCACCGCAGTCTCGTCCGCCTCACCCGGCGTCGACAGCTCACCTGTTCGAACGTCTTGAGCGCCTTACGCAGCGTGATGCCGAAGCCGCGGGAGGCCGGCAGCAGCGGGAAGTCAGGACGGTCAAACTCGGCAGGCTTGCCTTCTGCTGCCGGGCGTGCATGCGGGGGAGGGGGGAGGGGGGTCAGAGGTCAGCCGCCGGCCAGCATGCTCCCACCGGAAGCGGCGGGGCCGGGTTTGCTCAGTCTCAGCAACACACATGTAACGAACAGCGACGAACCCGTGCCAGACCACCTTATCGAGCGTTGTACCCAGCCCTTATCCCCGGAGCCACACTGGGACAGGTCGACAGCAAACTCACCAGTCGTCGGTGTGCCGCCCGCCTCCGACACCTCCAGCCAGTGCCGCAGACGCGCGATCAGCCTGAGGCAGATCAGGTGACATCGATCCAGGTCACGCCGGGTCAGGCAACGTCAGCCCAAATTGGGTTAGGTTCCGTAAGGTCGGTCGGGCCAGGTCAGATGACCTCATGGGGAGGGCGCAGGGGACCGGAGTGACGCTCGAGCCGGCACCAGACGGCGGGACCCCCACGGCGGACACCTGCAGGGGAGCCGGCATCCCCACCCGACACGTGACAGGCGACGCTCAGAAGCACACGGCATTGACTCAAACGGCGCACAGATGTCACACATTAGCCACAATACCACGAAAGTGGTGCCAGCAGTGCAGGTGGTTGCTGATCACTTATGACTGACATGCATGTCTGACCGGCTGTCCGTCCTCGATCAATCAACTCACACCAAACGCTTTCTCATTGGCATCACCCATTGATGGTGTTTCCCGACAAAACAAAACAACCACACAAGCATGGCTGAGCCGTGCATTTGACCCCGATATTTGAGAGGAGACTGACCAGGCTAGCAGTGGCCTGCGCCTGACTAGTGAGGCTAGCAGTGGCCTGCACCTGAGTAGTGACCGGGGCTAGCAGTGGTCTGCGCCTGAGCGGTGACCGGGGCTAGTAGTGGTCTGCGCCTGAGCGGTGACCGGGGCTAGTAGTGGTCTGCGCCTGGGTAGTGACCGGGGCTAGCAGTGGCCTGCGCCTGAGTAGTGACCGGGGCTAGTAGTGGCCTGCGCCTGGGTAGTGACTGGGGCTAGTAGTGGCCTGCGCCTGGGTAGTGACCGGGGCTAGCAGTGGTCTGCGCCTGGGTAGTGACCGGGGCTAGCAGTGGTCTGCGCCTGGGTAGTGACCGGGGCTAGTAGTGGCCTGCGCCTGGGTAGTGACCGGGGCTAGTAGTGGCCTGCGCCTGGGTAGTGACCGGGGCTAGCAGTGGTCTGCGCCTGGGTAGTGACCGGGGCTAGCAGTGGTCTGCGCCTGGGTAGTGACCGGGGCTAGCAGTGGTCTGCGCCTGGGTAGTGACCGGGGCTAGTAGTGGCCTGCGCCTGGGTAGTGACCGGGGCTAGTAGTGGCCTGCGCCTGGGTAGTGACCGGGGCTAGCAGTGGTCTGCGCCTGGGTAGTGACTGGGGCTAGCAGTGGTCTGCGCCTGGGTAGTGACCGGGGCTAGCAGTGGTCTGCGCCTGGGTAGTGACCGGGGCTAGCAGTGGTCTGCGCCTGGGTAGTGACCGGGGCTAGCAGTGGTCTGCGCCTGGGTAGTGACCGGGGCTAGCAGTGGTCTGCGCCTGGGTAGTGACCGGGGCTAGCAGTGGTCTGCGCCTGAGTGGTGACCGGGCTAGTAGTAGTCTGCGCCTGGGGTAGTGACCGGGGCTAGCGTGTGACCTGCGCCTGGGTAGTGACCGGGGCTAGCAGTGGCCTGCGCCTGAGTGGTGACCGGGGCTAGCGGTGGTCTGCGCCTGGGTAGTGACCGGGGCTAGCAGTGGCCTGCGCCTGGGTAGTGACCGGGGCTAGCAGTGGCCTGCGCCTGGGTAGTGCACTGACCTGTGTGCGCGAGTCCGCATGTGCTCTCCGACCTCCTCTACGAACACACACGGCGGGTTCTTCAGGATCTCTGTCAGAGACTGCACCAGCTTCAGGATCACCTGCGGACGAGCGGTGCTGCTAATCACGTGTGAAGTGTGACAGTGCGACGCAGTGTAGAGTGAGTGGACCAACATCCAAAGTGACGCGGCCCGGAGTGCATTAACACCCATAGTGTGATTTTTAATGGATCATGCCAAGATACAAACACTGCAACCACCCGCAGCCGGGCGAACCGGCTCCACGATCACCGGCGAGGCACGGGGTGCGACTGGTAACACGCGCGCTGACACACTGACCGCTGTGCGTGTGTCAGAGTCTGAGGAAACTTCGATGCTGGGGTCTCGGCTTATACCATCTCTTTCGCAGGCAAAATCTGAAGCGCAATGACGCCCTCAAGGTGGCACTTGTGACTTAAAGCGCTGGTGGAACTAGGCACGCTTTCCTTAAACACACCACCCACATCCCACTCCCACCCTTCACCCACCCACGACTCTTCTCCGTTCGGGTATACGAGGATGGTCGGCATGACCTTGAACAACCGTTATGTTACGTTGTCATCAATTCAGAACAGTCACTAGGGCCAACACTCCATGGCCTACAAAACTTCTCTGGGCGGGAACTGAACTCACACCCACCCATCCGCAGCCGGCCGCCTCACACCACACGGTCGCCGCCACCTGTGGTCCGCCAACTGACCATTTCGTTGTAAAGCCGGCTGTTCTCGGCGCCCTGCTGCGAGCCGCGCTGTTTCTCGTAGCCGGCTTCGTTGTAGTATGGCTCCGACGCCAGGATTAGACCTGTCGGCCGATGCGGGGTGCTCGTGGTCGCTGCGGCCGCACAGAACTAGGCGCCAACCGGACACGGCCGCACCGAACTAGACGCCGACCGGACACGGCCGCACAGAACTAGGCGCCGGCCGGACACGGCCGCACCGACCTAGACGCCGACCGGACACGGCCGCACCGACCTAGACGCCGACCGGACACGGCCGCACAGAACTAGGCACCGATCGGACACGGCCGCATCGAACTAGACGCCGGCCGGACACGGCCGTACCGAACTAGACGCCGACCGGATACGGCTGCACTGAACTAGGCGCCGACTGGACACGGCAGCACCTAACTAGACGCCGACCGGACGCCGCAGCACGGAACTAAACGCTGACCACACACGGCAGCACTGAACTAGACGCTGACCAGACACGGCCGCACAGAACTAGACGCTGACTGAACAAGGCAGCACAGAGCCCGGCACACCAGTCGCTGACTTCTGTGGCATCGAGTAGCATCGCGGGAATGCACCACGGCGTCGAAAGCTGAATAGCATCATAACACACGTCACAATTTATGGGTACTATCAACGCATGCAATGACGCGGGTTCCATGGATACTGTATTTTCGTGGACACCGGGGGCCGTGAAAGTCCCAAGCGTCAGGAATCGAACCAGAGCCTTCATACACAGCGCTCAGCGCAATACGCGCACAGAAACAGTAGCATAACCGCACGCTCGGACCCCACGATGCACCAGCATCATTAGTGACGTGCTGGCGGAGGCACGCCACGCGACTGACCTTGTATGGAGACGAGCACCTGCATGAGGCTGGAGGAGGACGACCAGACCTCCGATCCGCGGCCGCCCCACGTACCCAGCAGCGAGACGCACACCTTGCCGTCCTCGTACAGGTTCGGGTTCAGCCGGTCCGAGCAGTAGCTGGGGCAGCAGGCAGTAGACGTCCATAACACAGCCCAGCGGCACAACGCCACACACGGCCCGCGATCAGCTCGTGACACGACTTCAATGACCGCCGCCAGGCTCCGCCGCTCGGGGCTCCCGGGCTTCACGCCATGGGGTCATGACGTCAGAGCGAGACAGCGCAAATAAAGGATGCTGCCTATCACGTATAGAAACGGCCTGTCGGGGCTGGTCATTGCACTACATGATAACAATCCTGACACATGATCGCAAGCGAAGAGACTAGGCCATCTGAGTACACACCTTCGCATAGCGACCGGATCACTTGCGACACACTGCGAATGCAGCGCGACATGAAAGAGCCGACGCCTGAGGGCTCTCAGACCAAGACGCCCATCTGTGCGGGCTCTTCGACAAAAACACACATAAAAAACACCTCCGAGACCGGGAGGTCGGTTCAGGAACACCGCGCCGCCGCCAGGCACCGCTGACCTGATGTAGTGGAAAATGGGCGGACTGCGCGGATAGTCCTGCGACAGCTGCACCTCGAAGAAGAACAGGCCGTCCTCGTATGGGGTGCGGCGCGGCCCAGTGATCATCACCGAGTACAGGTCCTGAGAGGTGAGGTCAGCATGGGGTCAGCAGAGGTCGGCATGGGGTCAGCGAAGGTCAGCACAGGGACAGCGGAGGTCAGCACGGGGTCAGCGCAGGTCAACACGGGGCCAGCGGAGGTCGGCACTGGTTCAGCGCATGTGCTCGGGGCCGCTGTTGGCGGTCCTTACGACGGAACACGGTACAGCAAACACCAGGGAAACGGGTACGGGTCCCGACAACAGGACACAGCTGGTCACATGGCACCGCCGTACTGTAAGAAATAGGCTGCGCAAAGGATGCTATTACGGCACTATCCCAAATGATGCACCACATGACAATGATGTGAGCGCAATGTGGCGCCGCCGAGAACAGGTAACGACAACACAAATGGGTTTAGCGAACGGCCAGGACAGCTACAGACAAGAGCCTCAAAGCATCACGAGAATACCAGTCACGAAAAATAAGTCACCGGTATCATGAAAAGGTATCATGTGGAAAGGTATCATCAAGGAACCATTATTGTGTCGAGAAAATAATTACGATATATGTAACGCATCTGATCCGACCTCGATAACTGAAAGCATAATGGAAACAGAACCGTCTGAACGTGGCGTGCGTGAGCCCGAACATGGACTGGAAACTGACATGATAGAACTCGCGCGACTAACAACTGATTGTGGTGAAGTCCTGAGCGCAAGCCCTCCGACGCAAATATTCGGGGCTGGCAGCACGGGCACGGGCGTCACGCGGTCAGGTGACGGAGCCATGGTCCCGACGTCTCACGCCAATGCGTCACACTACACTACACTAGTACACACACGCCACCGCCAGTAGCAGCAGTGTCGTCCATGCAGCTGTTTTTAAGGCCTAAGCCGGACATTATCAGGACATAGAATCGCGAGGGCTTCAGAGCACAGTTCGGGTCCACCCCGCCCCAGCTCAACTCCAAATGCATATGAATCTAACTGCCGGGCGGAGCAACGCAAATCGGCGGATGCCGTAAATAAACGAGTGCCGTCCAAACCGAGAGATTTGCTCCTCCCGGATGCATGATGCGGCATGGTTCGTTGTTCAGAGACGAGGCGGGAGCCACGCAAATCGGCGTGATGTGTCTCACCGAACTTTCTCCCCCTAAGAAAATCCTGGCCGCCGCCTCTGCTGCTGGCGGAACACGTGCCACGAGTTCCGCCAGCAGAAGAGGCGGGGGGACAGGGGCAAGCCCTCTTCCCAAAGTTTGTAAGATGTAAAATCTCACCTGAGACGGCGCTCTGTACACCCACCGATGGTCTCACAAGATTTGATCAGCGCACTGACATTGCACACGACGATGCGTTTTTGAGGCTTTTGATTGACGCTACACACAACTTGATCTGACCAGTCTATAAGACTTAAGTACCTAAGTAGTACATAAGGCCGTGGTCCCGTGCGCACAACGCTTCTAGTCGTAGGTGCTCTTTTGTCTCCCCTGTTTTGGGGAGGGAAGTGTTGGCGGTGTTGCGATTGTGTTGTGCTGTTGCTCTGTTATATGATCATTTGGTGGGCCACGTCGCATGCGCCTGGGCAGTCGCGTCGATTAGTCTTGTTGACGCCTACGTGGTGTACGTTACGCAGCCCGTAGTCCACGCCTAGACAACAAAATTTGCTACACTTCGTTCGAACTTCGAAGGGGGCGTGAGCGCGTGGAGCCCCATGGGAACCACTACCGCGTGGACACGACACGTCGGGACCCCCATGTCCGAGTAGCGCCAAAGAGCCCCGACCTGGAAACAGGAGCGGCCGTAGCACCCCAATTGCTATCACCTTTTGAGAGGCCCCTTTTCCTAAACTTATAGCACAGAAGCTAACCGTAGAGTACCAAAAACTCCGATAAATGAGGCCCCCAAACCTGAGGTACAGAGCAATAAATCGAGCTCAGAAGACACTGTTCCGCATCAAGAGGCCCGTTTTCTGCACTACGAGACCGCCTTAATAAAAAAGTAGCTCATGCTCTAGATCAGGAGGCTCCTGTTGTGCTAAGAAGGCCCCGTTACGAGCTAGAAGGCCCCACTCCGGATAAGAAGGCACCCTTCATCTTCGGGAGGCCCCATTTCTAGAAACAGGAGGCCCTTAATGCATCAGAACGCTGAGGTTCTGGATAAGGATTCCCTGTTTGGAAAAACGAGGCCGCTTGGCTAAATTTCGGGCCTCCTTCGTAAATTGGAAGCATCCTGTCCCAGAATAGGACGCCCCTCTTTGATTCAGGGGCCCTTTTCTGCAACAGGAGGCTACCGAGGCTACCTTTACACTACCGAGACCCTTTACTGGATCGCCAGAAGGACCCATTCGGAATTTTTAATTGAAACTGTTTTACTTAGATATAATAGGCCGTAGCAGTTAATTAAACAAGGACATGCCTTCGGCACCCCTGCCTCTTGAATACGACGCTGGCCAGGAGTGAGGATGTCCTATTTCGTCCAGGAGGCCCCATGAAAATTCGTGGCGCCGCCTCTCCTTACACAGATCTGGACTGGGGAAATTAGATCCGTATAGCAGTGTTTTCAACTTTGAAAAGAGCACCAAAACGCAAAATTTTCACGCACCTAACATCCATTTTTTTCAACCATTTTCATTTCAACATCCACGCTGGGCGCGGAACTTCTGTTGCACCGATGGGAAGGTAAATTTGCCCGCCCCGGTCCACCGACTCCGTGGCGCAACGGTAGCGCGTCTGACTCCAGATCAGAAGGTTGCGTGTTCAAATCACGTCGGGGTCAGGAACCTTTTCACAGAAATAATGCCCGCAAAGGATCTACCAGACGGATTCTACACGCGCGGTTCTTACTTTCTAAATAAGGCGATCCTTCGGGGCCACGCTAGACACATCATTTCATTAAATTTGAAAATAACTACTGGGCACAGGTGTTGAACGTGATGCCCTTAAGGTGTACCTCGAGTGTTCCCTAACCGACTGTGACAATGCACAGAGACGACGGTTTCCGAAATCCTGTTGGCTAAAAAGGTATACTCCAGCTCTACAAAGACGACGGATTAGCTATGCACCACGACATGGCTACATAACAACTGTTATGTAGCCTAACTGAGCTTGCTGCAACATCCTTGTTCACGGACTGACATGTGCACCACATGCCATCATGAAGCTACATCCCCTGTATCCAACAAAACAGGCTCCACTGCGAACGCTGTATACCCCATCGCGCACACAGCAAAAGTTTGTGGAGTTGACTACTTACTGGACCAAGATTCACGTGTTTCTCTTCTTGCTTAAATCAAAATGTTTGGCACCCTCACAAAATTTTATCCACCACTGAACACCAATAACACACAAAACACCATGAGAAAAAAATAAGACAATAAAAAAACAAACAAAAAACAGGTGGTTCAGCTCGTGAACAGTTTGAGCAGCTTCTACACATCCAGATGTCATCCGCTATTGACAGCCCAACCAGGGGTGTCAATTTCTGCAAATTATTGGGGGGGGGGGCAAAAGAAGACCTGACAACCTACAACCAACCTGTTTTTTCTCACGGGATTTATCCCGCGTTATTTTAATAAAACGCAATAAATATTTCTAATCTTTGTAAACTTATAAGTCTTTAATCTACGCAGCATAGAAGTCAGACAGGGATGGATCCAGGGAGCAGACACCGGACGCACGCGTCTCTTCTGATCGGCACGTGAAGGCGCCCCTTTAGAGGCCACCTTAGGGCGCGATGACGCTCTTCTGTGGCGGTCATGGGAGGCGGCAGGCATTTTGGTCGTGGGGGACGGGGACGGGTTTAGCCACGGAGGACTTAGGTCATTCCCATATTCCAGAGCTTTTCACTTTAACCTCACAAACCGTTGCGTATCTTACGACACTAGGTATGCGAAGTTTATTGCATTGTTTATCCGCTCAGCTATTACGATTTTATCTTGACGTGAGAGCATCCATGACTTTTTGTTATGAAAGTAGTACCAGAAGCCACCACGCAGAAAGATCAAATGAAGATAGCTGTTGTGTTATGATCATCTTTTACCCACGTTGTTTGTAGTATTCCAGTCAAAAACATTGAGAGGGAGGGGGAGGGGGCAAGCCAGCATTGGGGGCCCAACTCCACATTGGGAGGGGGTCAGGGCCCTAAAAAGGACACAAATCGAAACCTGTGGGCCCAAATCGATCCAGGACCCAGTGCAGCTCATAACAGGGTAGTGCTGATCAGGATGTGTGATTCACATCCCAGACATAGTCCAGCTATAGCGGGCCTTAAATGAGTTAACATACAACTCATGTGCATTTCAAATTATTTGAAGATGATTCTCCCAGACAAGGTGGAATTAGCTGATGCCGTGCAGTTTCCCATCGCTCGATATGCATATTTCTAACTGCGTGATGATGGTGTTCTCTGGCAGGGTGTTAATCAGGACGCACATCTCGATCACAAGCAGATAACATCCACCGACCACAGCCTCCTCGAACTGCCTGATGCTGAAAGCCTCAGACAGGGCCGTGGCCAAGGTGTGAGTGTCATAAGTCACAAGGAAGCTTATCATCACTTACAATTCGCTCCTCGAATCCCTTGACGATAATGCCGTCGGGCAGGGCCCTGGTCAGGATGCGGATCTCGCGCCGGACGGCCCGCATGAAGGCGGGCGGTTCCACAGGCTGGAACAGGCTGACCTTGAACTTGTGCGCGTCCGGCACCGAAGGCAGGGTCGTGAACTCTGCAACACAGCGTCCATGACCTGAACACCGGGCTCAATCAGGGACTTTGCACCGGTGCCGGGTCATCGACCTCAGAACGGGGTCCCCATAAGGGCTGCAACCATAGAGCTGAAACCAGTAAGCGTTCAAAAGGCGGCTGCGACACTTACGGTTGAGATAATCGATCTCGATGTCAAATTCAAATATCCACCCTCAGTAAGAGACAAGACCGGTGACTTCAGCGGGGGGTTGCAACCAAAGGGACATATCAAGGTCAAGTCCGATGAATCCCTCCCATGACCGTGGCCAAACTGCATTTGACTTCGGTGCCAGTAATCCGTGACCCCTGCCACTTCAGCTTCGGCACCATACACGCTCCTCGGCGCACGCCGTCGGCGCTGACTGACCTTGACTGTGACCTTCTGCGGCGCCTCCAGCCGCGTCCCCGGCGGCGTCTGTCGGCGGCGTGACCTTCACCTCGTCCGGCGACAGCAGCTCGGCATCTTCGCCGCCCTCTCCTGCGGCGCCGGGGCGAGGGTCACCCACGCGCACCGCCGACCCGTCCCAGCACGCAAAGTATACCACAGCACAGCAGCAAGCCACACGGAAAACGGCAACGCGCTGGCTGTCTAAGCGACTTGTGCTATCTAGTCTCCGATATTACGAGATTCGGGATTTGAGAGCGACTAGGGACCGCTACCTGATCAATGAACAAGACGTACAATCAATCAGAATATAAAACTCTATAACCCTCCGATCGCAATGGTCTACGATTGCCCGCAGTCTGGAATGCCATCAATGCCAGTCCAGAACAGCTGATCAAGTGACAGATAGACGACAGACACCACAGCCGGCCCCGGGCCCGGCCCCGGCCCCGGCCCCGGCGGCGGCGGTGGCGGCCGGGCCGCTCCCATACCGTCGGTGCGCGCGTCGCCGTTGATGCCGGAGTCGTCCGCCGCCGGGCTGGCGCCGTCCAGCGCCCCGCCGCTGAGGGAGATGCCGTACCGACGCACCTGGCGGCGGCCGGGGCCACGGTCAGCACGCCGCGGGTGGGTGGAGCGACACCCCGGGTGGGTACTACGAACACCCCGGCGACACCGCGGGTAGGTAGCGCGATAGCTCGACGACGCCGCGGGTGGGTAGAGCGACACCCCGGAGACGCCGTGGGCGGGTAGAGCGACATCCCAACTGCGCCGCGGGTGGGTGAAGCGACACCCCGGCGCGCGGCCCGAGGACGCACGCGGCGGATTATCCGCTGACGGTACGTGTGGCACAAGTCGACACGTTTAAATAAAGCTGACCATAATATCACTCGTTAGGGACATCACTGACGAGGCAGCGTCCCGTCCAACCACGCTGCCTTTGCAAACATCTGCTAAGTTTGCTTGTTTAACTTTACACGTGAACACATCGTCCCCGATCCCTGAGCCCAGGCCCAGGCGTGACCCAGACAGGACCCTCGTGCATGACCCAGTCAGGGCCTCCATGCATGACCCAGCCAGAATGTTCAGACGCAACCTCCCAAGACCTTCAGGTGTGACGTTTCCGGACACGCAAACATGAACCGACCATAACCCCGAGATGTGACCCTGCTGGGCCCTCCCACACGACCTCGCCGCGACCTGCGCCTCCGCACCCGTCGGCGCCTCCACCCTGGCCCCGCCCGCGAGGGGAAGGGGGAGGGGCACTCACCACTTCCTCATGAGCCAGCAGCAGTTGAGCCTTGAGCTTGGCGCAGAACTGGGCGCACTCGTTCATGCCGGCTCCCTCCGGCGGGCTGGCGCGGGCGAGACAGACAGATCAGCCAGCTGACACGGCCAACGGCGGTCAACGCTGTGCGCCGCGCACAGCGGCACCAGCCGTCACCGGGCCGCACCAGCACCGGCGGCGGTCCGGCCGGAGGAGCGGCACCAGCCGTCACCGGGTCACACCAGCACCAACTGGCCCGAAAGCCCACACAAGTATAGCCAGACAGCTGGTGAACAAAAACGCTGTGGGTCTGTTCGAGCAACATCGGTTCCTGCTGCTTATTAGCGCACGTAACATATAGGAGGACATTAGCGTCACCAGCTCCAGGTGGGAGCCGAGGACGGGGACAAACTCCTGCGACGAGCTGATACACAGAGTTAACTTAGGAGGTACGGCCTGCTGTGTTTCGCCGGCTTCTGGTGGGCGCGATTTCACTTGGACGCGATTCCGGCGCCAGTCGGAGCAAGAATCCCCGGCGCTAGCGACTCCAGTGGCCGCCAGACCATCCGCCGACGGCTAGACGGCCAGACCACCAAGCCAACCAACCGCTGACGGCCAGACGGCAGACCACCAGGCAAACCGCTGACGGCCAGACCGCCGGACCGCGCCGGACTGACCTGGCCGTCTCCTGGTTCGGCGCGTCGCCGCCAGGGGCGTCACCGTCGGCCAGCCGGCAGGGCGCCGTCACCTCGCGCTGCGCGGCGAACGCCCGGCTCCGCTCGCGGATCTGGCGGCGGTCAGGTCAGCTCAGGTCAGCTCAGGTCAGGGCGCTGCACAGGGGACGGCCTCGTCACGCACCCCACTGCTCCCCGCGCGGAGCGCACGCGCTTACAGCGCTCTCTATGGCTTCCACAGCCTGGCCCACCACGCGATCAGATGATCACGTGTTGGGCCAGCCTGATTCTATTGGTTCCGTACAATACTGCGTTGGATACAGCGCCAATATAGTACCAATGAATAGCGATTTTAAACACCTGGCACAAAGTATAACACAACAGCTTAATCAAATGTCCGCGCACGCCTGGCACAACAGGTAACACCTTGACATTCTAATCAAATTCGCACGACGGAGATACAACACCCGAGTAGCCTGCCCGACATCGGCCGGGGGGCGGGCGGGGGTAGGGGGGAGTGGAGGAGACCCGTATGTAGGCCGGCTTCACCTGGCCAACCAAACCGACGGAATGGGCTGGGGGGGGGGGGGGTTAAGGGGGGGGGGGTACCATGTTGTCCAGCCTCACCTGGCCAACCAGACCGCCGAAGTGGGTGTCACCGAAGAACGACGTGTCCATCAGCTTGTCCAGGAACCTGAGGAAAGAGCAAGAGGCTTGACACCAGCAGTCACACACACGGCTACGACACCGATTCGACGAGGGCGGTGTTTGCTTGCAACACAAAATTGGCGGACGGGCAAATCAATCTGATCAGACACACTCAAATGCGCTGACAGACGCGACCGGCTCACCACCGGCGGACACCTGACAACCGCCACGCTCCTTGACACAGTGTCAGACTGACAGTGACGTCTCCGCTGCATACACGCACTCGCAACACTGCACACTGTCTGCCCAATGACGGCGCCAGTCCGGCCGGCCAGGCCGGAGGGGTCTGTAAACGACGGCAACATACCCGGCCTCCTCCCACCACGCGCGTAACCACGGGGGTCGGGCAGCGAGACAAACCGTCTCAATTTGTATACAGTGCAATTTTCTCTCCATCAAATATGTCCGGACATTTTCGCGTCTTTCCATTCACAATGCCACTTTTAGATAAGCTTGTCCACCACACCCAAGCCTGATTCCCCCCCCCCCCCCCCTCCATCTCAGAGCCGTGATTACACCCATACCTCCGACCGCACATCGAACTGACGCACCGTAGCAGCAGCCAGAGGCCTGTGACCACGAGGTTCCCGTGGCACTGCGACAGCGGCCCAGTCGTTCTACCACGGAGGATGTTTACCCAAAGTTCTTGTGGTCCCCAGCAGAAGCCTCAGCCTTCATTTCACACGCGATGCAAACGCATACGTGCCATGAGCCTGGAGAAGTTCCCTTCCCTCGCGCATCGGCGCTTACAGTCACCTAATGCCTGTCTACATCGAGGCTGTATCCCTCCGCCTCAGACGCGGAGATGCACGCTCTACAGGGTGTCCCGACAATATCCCCCTCCCCGCTCGATCCTCCGACGGAGGGCGGGCAGACCCCGCACCTGCTGTTCTTGTGTATCTCCAGCAGCTGCTTCATGATGAGCGGACTCTGCAGGGCCGAGTTGAGCGTGAAGATCTCCTCCAGCCGCGTCATGGCCACGCGGATCTTCTCGATGATGGCGGCCAGCTTCGGCTTCAGCCTCTCGTCCGGCAGCTGCTCCTGGTCAGAGCTGCCGGCCGGGTCACCACCGGTCAGGTCAGGTCACCAGGCCCGCGTCGGGTCAGCTCACCAGGCCCGTGTCAGATCAGGTCACAAAGCCCACATCAGGTCAACTCACCGGGCCCGCGTCGGGCCATGTCACCGGGCCTGCGACAAGTCAAATCACCAGGCCCATGTCAGATCAGGTCACAAGGCTTAATTCAGATCAGGTCACAACGTCCACGTCAGGTCGGGTCACCGCAACCGCGTCACGGGCCAAGTCACCTAGACGAGTGCCCACTGCAACGACACGCTGCCGCGCCACTGACCTGGGGTGGTCAATGGGGTACCTCGCACCCGCCACGCCGTTCGCTCGCCCGATACCACGCACTAAACGGCCCGATACCACGCACAGAAGGCGGTTCTGAACGCCACGGTGTCAGCGCTGTGAATCAGAAACGCGCCCCTTTGTGATGCCGCCCTCGTGGGGTGACGAGGAGCTCTCGGCGCGTGGTGGCGGAGGCCGGCCACCCATACCCTTCCCCTCCCCACCCCCACCACACTCACCCGACGTCACCGGCCACCATCGACTCCTCCGACTGCGTCTCCCACTCGGCCGACTCGGTTGACTCGGCCGAGTCGCCGTTGTCCCACAGCTCGCCCTCGTCCGAGTCGTACTCGCCCACCTGGTGGAGTCGGGGACACGGTTCAGTCTGGATGGACGCGGGTCAGTTCTGAGCAGGTCAGCTTGAGACGCGGGTCAGTCTGAGACAGACGCGGGTCAGTCTGAGACGGGTGCGGACCAGTTGAGACGGGTCCAGTCAGCCTGAGACGGACGAGGGCCATCTGAGACAGACGAGGTCAGTATGAGACGGGTGCGGACCAGCCTGAGACGGACGCGGGTCAGCATGAGACAGGTGCAAGCCAGTTTGAGACGGGTGCGGGTCAGCCTGAGATGGACGCGGGTCAGTCTAAGATGGACGAGGGTCGGTCTGAGCAGGTCATCTTGGGAGAGACGCGGGTCAGTCTGAGACGGAGGCGGGTCAGTCTGAGACAGACGCGAGGCAGTCTGAGACGGACACGGATCAGCCTAGCCTGAGACGGACACGGGTCAGTCTGAGGCGGACGCGGGTCAGTCTAAGGATGTCTGTTTCCGAGCCAATCTCAACCATTAGCTAAGTTTTTCCCCAACGCCACCCCCTAGCACGTACTGTGACATCACCCCACACGCGCTAGAACCCAACAGGGCGAGGCGGGGAAGATCGCGGGAGCGGTGGCACGAGACGTCCTGCTCATCTTACAGAGCTCTTACTTCCCAATCTACTGCGCCCATTCAGCGCGGGACATCTCAGCACACAGTCTACAACCACATGATCCAGCGGCAACAGTGAATTGGATGTGTCAGGGCCGGAGTCCCGGTCAGATCCACACGCTGGTGGCTGCACGTAGGCCACGTCCCGCGCCTGCGGCAACACGCTGGGACGGGCTGAGGTAACCAGCGCCAGTCACGCGGCCCAGACCGGCTCCTTACCCGGAACAGGTCTTGCGGGTAGCAGTTGGAGCTGCTGCCGTCCGCCCACCACACCTTGACCTGAGGCAGGGCGGCACCGGTCAGCGCCAGATCACAACACCCAGGTCGAGTCAGGTCAGGGCAGGTCAGACGGCCCGCAGCTCAGTGCGGTGGCACTCAGACTTGACCCCAGTCGGGTTGAGGTTTGACTGAGGCCAAGGTTGGGGTTAGCATATGGGGTTGAGGAGGTTGGAGGTTAGAGGTTGGGGGGAGGGGGGTTGGGAATTGCAGGGGTGGGCGCCATCAGGCTTCTGTGCTAGGAAGGAGCAATCAAAGCACAGGGGAAACTGGAACTGGAGACAAGTAGAAAACTGAGCCGACCCAGTTACAAACAACGGCGGATTACTCATTCACAGGAGAGGAGCATAAACAGTCAGTACTTCATGACTGTTTAACATGTGCTTCTATAAAAAACCTGAGGATGCAATCAACTAGAGAGCAGTTTCCACCACGTCCGCACATCGCCGGCTTCGTCCAACGACGAGGGCGATGACGTTGCTCAAAATTCAAAAGCGACAATAGGTCAGACTACTTCAGCTGTCATGTTCACGTTTGGACTGAAACACACCAACAGGAGGATACGGGCGTGGTGGAAGCCAAAAGGGGGAAATCTGCCCGCCACCACCCACGCACCCCACACCCGGCGCTGCCTGCGCCACCACTCCACAGCTGTGGTTCTCACTCACCTCGCCAGATGTCAGCACGTCGAGCACTTGGCCGGCGTGAGCGCAGCCGGGCGGCGCTGGTGAGCCGGCCGCCGGCAGGGGGACAGGCCCGTTCGTCTGGGGCTCCGGATCGCTGCCGACAGAAGACCGAGGCAGCGGTCAGTGTTGGGGGCGGGGGGGATGGCGGTTGCCGCGAGACGCGCTGACGGCCGGCGCTGCGTGATCAGGCGACGCCAGATGGCGGGCCAGCCCGAGGGAACACACCGCGGCGGAGATCCCGGAACAGGCCGAGGCCTCGTCCAGCGACCTGACACCCACCCGGGCTCTCTGAGAGCATGACAGACCGCTGACACCGTCGCGCGGAGACAATGACGGCGGCAGCCATCCGCGCCTCAGTCCGGGAGTCGAGCCAGAACGAGCGAAAGCCGGGCACCAACCGCTTATGAACCCCACTCCAGCCCTGTCTGGCTCATCGACGCCATTCTGATCCCAAAATCACCTCTGCAAAACATTCACCCATGCCCCTTTCATGAGGGGGAAGGCGAGACCCCACGCACCGTTCTCTGCCGTCCTGCGGCTGCGGCGCGGTCGCCTCGGGCTGCTGCTCGGCGGCGCCCGCCGGCGGCTCCGGCTGGCTCTGCTGTTCGTCGGCCGGCGACAGCGGCGGCGCGGCGTCGGCCTCGTCGCCGGAGCCCTGCTCGGGCGAGGGCGGCGGCAGGCGCGTCTGAGGCGATACGCTGATCACCACTGTGCCCGGCCGGTAGCGGAAGTCCGGGTGGTCGGAGAGATCGTACACGCTGGCCTCGGTCCGACGCAGGATCTGCGGGCTGGTCACGCACAGAGCCCGTCACACACTGGACCAGACAGCAGTGGGGCGGGGCGGGGCGGGGCGGGTGCAGAGCGAGGGCGGAGCGGGCAGAACGGGCGTTCACGCCGTGTACCAATAACCAGGGGACAGGTATGCCTCCGCCTGCGCAGCTCGCTCCGTGGTCGATACGCCCTTCACAATTGACACGCAGTGTTTCCATGCGCGAGACAACAACGCAGCGCTCACACCGCGCCCACATTTTCGGAGACCGTCGCCGCATGTGAAGCCCGCCTCACGTGATCTCTTCACAGCTCCTCCTCGCCCCCGTCCCTCCCCCCCCCCCCCCGACCTAGGGTGGCGAGAGTCGGCCGGTCTCACCTCGCCTGGCTGCCGAAGATGTAGATCTGGTACCAGTTGACCTGGGCGGTGCGGCCGGCGTGGTCCACCCGCTGCACCACGCCGTACTCGGAGGGGCCCGCCTCCGTCTTCTGCTCCACCACGTAGTCACCTGCCAGCGGCGCCGGCCCAGCCGTTAGATCCGGGTATTCCGGTGGCCAGTCAGAGCGCGTGGCACAACTGACGGGAGTCACACGGTCCTTCACAAGCCAGCGCAACAAGGCCAGCAACGACACTGATAGCTGGAACAGCCCACCCAAACCACTGAGGCCGACAAGAGCGGACACCACCGCAAAAGAGCGACTTCGATTGTGACACCTGACTAACGACAGCCACCACGGCCGTGTTGTACAGCACCCAGAATCTCAAGAGGCCTCCACCACCCTTACTAACAAATGTAAGCCTTCACCCATGACTGTCACCGCATGGTACCAGCCGGTCAAAACGCCACAAGTTTCATCCCTTAACTGGCCACTCATACATCAGACTTCAACGGGCATTGTCCGGCCATCCGTGGAGTCTGGCCTCTCCACCGAGCGGCTGCGCCGGAGCCGTGAAGCGAACCTGGGGCTGAGGATTGGGGTTCTGACTGGGGCTCGGGGCTGGCACTCGGGACTCGGGACTCGGGGACGACCGCACACCGGCCCACTCACCGGGGAAAAACTCGTGCTCGTCCAGGTGATGGGACGGGTGCAGGCTGATGGAGGGCAGCTCCTCCTCCACTGTGCCGTCCTGCGGAATGCCCCGGTCAGGTCAGCTCAGCTCACCACAGCTAAGGTCAGGTCATCTCAGGCTAGGTCATCTCAGGTGAGGTGAGGTCAGGTGCATCCACTTCAGGTCCGATTCGGTGAGATTAGTCCGGGTCAGGTCAGGTCAGGTCAAGCCTGCCCAGCTCAAGCCGCGTCAAGTCAGATACATCTACGTCAGGTCAGATCGCATGAGATTCGTTCAGTTCAGGTCAGAATGTGTTCTCAGGTCATCCCCACAGTTAAACTATGAAAGTTTGGGTCAGGACAACATAAGGTTCGTGTTGGCTCACGCCATACCGGAGCAGGTCGTGGCACACACCATGTGGAGAGCCCGAGCCTAGCACGCAGAGCAATGACGGCAGTCAACTATCGGAGACTGGCAGCAGAGCCTCGCCCGACATTCGACGCACTGATAAACCGCCGGAGTACCGGCAGGTTGTTAGCCTTGCTCCGAGCCATGGCGCGGACCATGTGGGTCGAGTCACATATGCAGACAACATTGATTGTCGCGATCACACCGCGGTGCCATCTACAAACTAAGTAGTTAGCAGGCTCCGTGGGTGGCTGGCGCATTCGCGGAGACAAGTCGCTTCGCTAACCCACCTGCCAAACGACGGTCACCCAAGAGACGGTCTTCACCGTCTCCACCACAAGTGTGTCACCGGCACTAAAGCTTCGCGTTTCGTACACAGGATGCCGACACGGTCGAGAGCGTTTCAGCTTGCGCTTCTTCATGATGTGCGTTTTCAGAGATGGACCGCGACGCGTGCGCTTGCCTGCCGGTGCAACTCACCCCGTCAACGCCATCTGCCAGCCGTACCCAACATTTAGAAGCCAACCACGATCATTCCACATGTCCTGACACCGCCTAAAGCTGGCTCCCACCCTCGGAACCCGCGCCAGTCGCAAAGCCCGGCGAGAGCCGCATCAGCGCGACGACGTCCTCCCCATACCAGCCCACGTGGGCACGCCAGCGAGGCCCAGTGTCCGCCGCTCGGGTCTTGCCGGAGACGGTCAGTAGCGGTGAGAGGGCGTGGACTAGCCCCTGGCACGGAGCGCGCGGGGTGCTGGTGCTAGTTCGCGCGCGGACCCGCGCCGTACAGAGTTAAGGTGTAGATGCATGGCTGCCAACCAGTGGAGTGCACCGACAGATACAGCCTGCGGAACATGACGGCAAGGACAAAGTGTAGGGGTAGGGCACAGAGATGAGGTGCAGGGGCGGGTGCAGGGGCAAGTGCAGGGGTGGGGTGCAGTGGTGGAGTGCGGGGGGTGCGGGGGTGAAGTGCAGTGGTGGAGTGCAGGGGGTGCAGGGGTGGGCTGCAGATGGTGCAGGGATGATGTACAGGGGCGTGGCGCAGCAGTGGCCTGCAGTGACGGGTTGCGGTGGAAGGGTGCAGGGGTGGGGTACAGTGCCAGGCGAGCCGGACAGAGCGCCGCACCTGCCGAGCCCACGCTGCTGTAGCTGCTGACGCTGCCCATCTCGTCGTCAAGCGGCTCGCCGCCGTTGGGCAGACCCGCGCTGGCCGCCGGCGCCGCCGCCGCCGCACCAGCCACCGGCGCTGTCAACACGGTCCGGACACAGGTCAGAGTCACAGGTCAGGGTCACAGGCCGGTCACAGGACAGGGTTGCAAGTCATATCAGGTCACAAGTCAGGTCAGAGTTCAGGTCAGATGTCTGGGCACAGGGCGCATATCAGGTCACAAGTCAGGTTACAAGTCAGGTCAGAGCTCAGGTCGAAGGCCTGGGTCGGGATGCGGTCCGCTCACACCGGATCACGACCAGCAACAGTCAATGACGAGGCTCGCGTGGCGGATATGCAGCCCCAGCCCAGTTGACCTCAGCAGGCGCCGCGGCCGTCGGCTCTCACCGCTCATCTCCGCCGGAGGCTGCGCCACGCGGACCGGCGGCGGCCGGAGGCCGGGCCGCCGTCGGCCGCTTGCCCGCCTTCAGGGTGTCCTTCTCCAGCCGCTTCCACTCGTCGAGCGACATGACCAGGTCGTCCTCCCTCAGTCGGTACGTGTTCATGTCGCCCAGCTGGAGGGTACACGGCTCGAAGACATTCAACATGCGCACTCTGCCGGCAGAACAAGGATCAGGGTTAGCGCCTTTTAGGCCACGCCCAAGGCGAACGCTTGCTCCTCTTTCCCGTACATAACCGGCGGGACGTCCGTAAATGTTGCTGGAACATGCTGGGGTTGATAAATAACCTCCTTCCCCAGCATCTCCCCTCAGTCCCGCTGTCCTCTGCGTCTCAGCGCCCATCCCCGCCAGCACCCCATCGCGCCTCTCACCGTTTGAGATCGTCACCGGTGATGACGTAGGCCGGCTGATCCAGGCTACCCTCTGACGTCACGGCACGACACTGCCAGTGCACGTTCAGTGACGTCACCCGGTACCGCGTCACCGTCACCTGGCGGACGGGCGTGGCGTCGGTCACATGCACATATCGCGTCCGTCACACGGACTATGACGTCAATCATACGGATGCATGACACCAATCACATGGAAGTATGACGTCATTCACACGGGTGTATGACACCAATCACACGGAAGTATGACACCAATCACACGGATGTATGACACCATTCACACGGACGTATGCCATTCGCACGGCTGTATAACACCAATCACACGGACGGACGGTGCCATTCATACGGCTGTATGACACCAATCACACGGAAGTATGCCGTCATTCACACGGGTGTATGGCAAGAATCACGCGGACGTATGACGCCATTCACACAGGTTCATGACACCAATCACACGAAAGTATGACACTAACCACGCGGACGTATGCAGTTAGGCCTATCGCTGCGTGACGTCAGTCACACGGCTGTATGACGTCAGTCACATGGCTGTACGGCGCCAGTCGCGCATAGGCAGACGGTCCGGTGGGAGTGCTGGTCCCACAGGGGCGGGCCTGAGGTGGGCGCGAGGCCTGACACACACGCCGGCGCGCCCGCCAGCGCTCGGCCGGAAGGCGTGGGCGCGTGGCGAGCCGACCGGCGCGCGCTCAGGTGCCGGCCCGGCGCGCAAGGTCGGCCGGACGCCTGCTGTCAGTGGCACGGGTCAACAGCGTCGGCCGCACACCCATCGTTCGGAGGCCGTGTCCAGCGGGGAGTCACAGCCGTGTCCGGCGGAGAGTCAAGGCCGTGCCCGGCGGGTTGTCAGCGCCGCTCGCCGGTGGCTCTTCGGCAGACTGAATCGATAGCAGTCGGCATGGCAAGGCGCTGCCATTGGTGGAAAGCACTGCACCGACACTGGTTGCGACGACTGACTGCGCAAAAAAAAAAAACAACAGAAAATAACGGCCGTTTACTTATCATATGAATGCTACCGCCGAAACGAAAACCTCTGTGCCTAACGAATTTAACACTGCCAAGCGTCTTCATCGTCTAACAACGCCAAACAGCCCCCCTCCCTCCCCGACAGATGACGTCACACCCGGGTCCAGCGAAACGTCGCGGTTTAGACGGGGTGAGAGGGGAGGGGGGGGGGACGCGGCGCGCCCCACAGCGTTGACGCTTGACAGCGGACCGGAGCAGCTCGATACCGGCCTGCGCGGCGCCGGCTCCCGGTCTGTTTGTGGCGTGCTCTGCCCGCCCCGCCAATGGGAGAAACAGAGAGATGGCTGGAGCTATTTTCGAGACCTCATCCAGGATGTACTGCGCCTGCCTTGGATGGGCCGGGCGATCCTTAACACGCAAAGCCTGCATTAACACAAGCTGCGCGTGCGCGTCCTTGACTAAAGTCACTCCAAAACATAGTATCAATCCTCCAAGTCAGCTCCTATTTGCAGGGACGCCTGGCCTGGGAGAGTGCCACAGGAGCGTATTGGCGCACCACAGTACGTCAAAGATCTGATGACGCTCAACGGCAAATCTGCACCCACGTCCTCAATGTCATGAAAGGTAGCCGTGGGTCCATTCGTGGCCCACGCCTATGTCAGTATTCCCTGCACAAGTTGTGGCGTGGCATGGCGGCTGCCGGACGGCAAATGGACCAATCATCGTTCCTCATTACTCATTCCCTCCGGACCTCGGCCGTTTGGGACACCGCACCAGCCTGCAGTGCCGGACTAAGGCAACGAGCCGGCTTTACCCGTCTCCCCCTCCCCCGCGGCTGTTTATGGCGTGCGAGTCCAGCCCCCAGACGCGATGGCACCAGACGCGAAGCACGCTGCCATCAGCCTCCTATGCGGCAGTGGCCACAAGTTGAGAACCGAGGTCCGAGCAAGCCCCCGGCTCAGCCCAGGTTCAGCACGGCTCCATTTCCACTCGCCACTCTCGACTCTGGCCGGGTCGGCATGATCTCGGTGTCCCCTCACCGCCCCCAGCCGGGGGGGGGGGGGGGGGGGGGGGGAGCGTTGCCGCAGTGCGGCAGGTGTGTCAACACTGACAGCTGACCGACGTACCACTGCCCCGCCCCCCACCCCCACCCGGTCCCGGCCGGGCGGGACGAGGAGAGGGGAGGAAGATAGTGACGGCGGGAAAAGTGTCCACAAGCGCGGGGGGGGGGGGGCAGTCCACCCAAATGGGGAGAACACTGTCCACAGGCGGGGATACAGCGTCCACATTCCCTGCATACTGAAAGCGGTTCATATTGCGTTGAACGCATTTGGATGGGCTGGCCACTAGTGATATTCTAGTGAGTCGAAGAACGCGAGAGTACGGAAATGGAGCCGATGAAGAAAACAAGTCTCATTAAAAAGAACAAAACAAGGAACTTAAAATCGCTGGTCATGGTGGACAGTGGACTTGCGGAGAAAACGACTGACACAAAACACCCACAAACTTCGCACGTGACGGACAAACCGCCGCAGCGTCACCACCGACCTTGACCAGTCTGTTGCGTTTCTCCTTGAGCGCCTGCGTGTCCTTGTTGCAGGTGAGCCAGCGGGCCGGCTCGAAGGTGCGCATCGGGCCCTGCAGCTTCTGACCCGGGTAGAACCAGACGCGGAACTCCGAGTCCTGCGGCACCGGTCGGCCGGGCCGGTTAGGGCGGGGTACACTCACACCCAGGTGGGAAGCATACGACAGTCACACGTGTATACCGGGCATCAGTGATTACGCCTGACGAGAACCTGACCACTGCTTCAGCCTGATTTGTCATTAAACTGCGATATATAAGACGACTGCTGGGCACATGCCAGTTTGCAGTCGCCTGCCGTTTGTGGGCGCGTTAAGTGCATGACCGCTCTGGGCGATCTTCGGCATCAGAAATGACACATCGTTAGATAGAAGGCGCTGGCATGTGGCGGATCACTGAGTTCAGCTTGTGTCTCGGGTGGAAGCCTGAGATATGTCAGCTGATCACCCCTCACGCCAGTCACAAGGTGACAGCCTGAGATATGTCAGCTGATCACCCCTCATGGCGGTCACGCTTTGACCGTAGCGGACTTCGGCCTCCGCCAGACCCTTACGCCATCCACTTCAAATAGCAGGGAAGGTGTGCTCCGACGACAGAATGTTCTAATGCATGCCTGCCGTTGCCTATGCAGTGCGCTTTGCGCGAAGCAGAGTAACAATGATACGGTCGTAAGACTGACCGTCAGGAATCGTGTCTGGATACAAACTCAGGTCGTGCTGGCAGTTATTCAGAGGCCAGGAGCGCTGTTCATCTTAGGATCAATATTGGCTGCATTCAAATTTTGCATAACACGCGAGTCGTGCGTAACTGATGGGGTGCTCCTGACTCTAACAACGGGCCGCCAGTGAAGGGTAACCCCCTGGCCCTATCGGTGAAGTGGCTCGTACACCGTTCATGTATCGCCGTCTGCAGATAACCCTCCCCCCCCCCCCCGCCAGCGTAGCGCGCCACCGGACGTACATATGACCCCTGCCATAGGCCCCCCCGCAGTAAGGCGCACCTGAACACAGCCCCTGTTCCGTCCGTACAGTGCGAGCATACCCTGACACCGAGAGCGACGCCGGCAAGCTCGACTTCAAACACAGTACGGACTGCGTCAAAACTGCGCTGAGAACTTGCCGTTGATAAGTGCAAGCCACACGCGTTGGACCGGCGCGCGCAGGGGCCGTCTGAGGGGCGGTGGTTAACTGACCGTGAGCCGGCGGCCGCTGGGGTCGTCCAGCTCGGCCGCCTCCTCGTCGGTGAGCACGCACACGGAGCCGTCGGTGAACTGGAGCTCCACGTCCGACGTCACGGAGTTGATGATGCCCACCCAGGCGTCCATGCAGACGGCGATGTCCGGCGCGAACTCCTGCCAAGCACCGCGGCGTCAGGTCACCAGTCACCACCGACAGAGGTCACTGGTCACTGGCTGACAGAGGCCACCGGTCATCACCGACAAAGGTCACCGGTCACTGGCTGACGGAGGTCACTGGTCACCAGGTGACAGAGGCCAAAGGTCACCAGCTAACAGCGGTTACCGGTCACCAGCTAACGGAGGTCACCAGTCATCAGCTGTCAAGGTCACTCGTCACCATCCGACAAAGGTTACCCGCCACCAGCCAACAGAGGTCACTGGTCACTGGCTGACAGAGGTCACCGATCACCAGCTGACAGAGGTCACCAGTCACCAGCTGACAGAGGTCACCAGTCACCATCCGGCCGTCACCGGAAGTCGTCACCGGCCGACGGTGGATGGGTCGGCAGTCACCAGTTATCGGCCGAATACGCCGCGCGGGTCGGGTCAGTGTCATGCAGCCGGCGACGCGTTGGTGGCTTGTGCGACCAACTCGACCCCCGGTGTGGTATGAAAGAGACAAGCTGCCTCTGGCACATGGGTAGAATGGAGCACAAATGGAACATGGCCACTCCACGCTCACCACGCGATAAACGTAGATACCAGGCTTACCGAGTTAACTATCCTTTAACAGTTCGCGCGATAAGCAACTGCACGTAACCAGGTTTCAACAGGCACCACTGCAGACAGCTGAATATAAGCAGGCTTCAACTGGCACCATTACATGTACCGAAAGCACGACACTCCCAACAACGATAAACACCGGTGACACGTTCTGTTCTGACGGGCGGCTGTCAGCAGCGCGCCGCTGCCGGACCCGAGGCCGGCCGGCCGGCGTCGCGTCTGACCTCGAGGGGGGTCAGCTCGTCGCTGGCCACGTTGTAGATGACCTGGCGGGTGCCGACCACCTGGACGGTGGCCTTCATGGTGATGGCGCGACAGTAACCGCGCTGCGTGTCCTGGCCGGGCACCAGGCGGCGCACTATGTCGCCCGGCATCAGACAGCGGTCCGACAGGCCCACCTGCCGACGTGAGGGGGGGGGGGCGGTTAGAGGGCGGGGAGGGGGACTGTGGGGGGGGGGGGGGGGAGGGTGATCATGGCAGACGCAGATGCGCTGACAATCAAGAGCAATCACAAACAAACACAGTTTAAGATATCAGTAGGGGGCGCAAAATAATATTACCCAGCAAAAGACAGCAGTGAGAAGCACCTGCCTTTGGTGTGGGGGAGACACGGTGAGAAAGGTCGGTCATAAATTATGTTAAAATGGATGGGGAGTAAGATATTGGTGGTGCTCAACAAAAGCATAATAACGGAGCGAGAGGGAACAGTGTAATGTTACATGCAAATGTTGGTTTCGAATCATGTAAAATCTTTCAAATGGATGTTTCTGAAGCTAGATTTCATTTTATTCCCCTCATGACAAGGAACATGCCCTTCATTGTTTCGCATTGCTAGCTCAACGAGATGCCAAGTGGCCGCTGGCTTTCGAACAAGTCACGTTAACACACAGCACAACGCGGGGATGGTGTGGGAGGATCGTCTGGCATAGCCAGTGCATAACCAGGGGCACATTAAAAACTGCCAAAATACCTCATATACTCTATGAACAGTTCCAGACAAGACCCCTGTGCTTGGACAGCAGGACACTAGAATCACCCAGGGGATGGGGGCCGGCCAGGAACAGACACTCCGACCATCACAGGGAGACACAGCTAGCAGCATCAAACAGCAGTATTACGCACCCACCTGGAAGGGGGGTGGGGGTCGGGCAGCCAAACAGGGGACCAGGGTCAGCCAGCAGCTCGACAGATCCCTCTGAGTGTGTTGGAGGTGACCCAACAGGGATGCTAGGACCAGCATCAGGCCAATAGGTCCACCAACTGAGGACCTAGTGAGGGAGTACATGACAGGCACCTTTGTGAGTGTGTAATTCAAATTGTGATCAGAGGTAGGACCAACAAATATGTAGCTGGTAAGCCAGCACAGCTGACAGGTTGAGAATGAGCCTGAATACTCTCCAGATGTTGATATATTGGTGTGTGATGTCCTTGCCAGGTTCTTCACTTTGCTGATGTCTGGTGTCAACATGGCAGCTCATGGCCTAACAGCCAAGCCAGAAACCAACTCAGCATTTCAAACTCATAAAAAAATACACATCTGGATGTTCACTTCCAGAAGCAGCATTCTGTTGTCATCGAGTGAGCAGCATACAGTAAAGATATGCTTAAAGCCAAAAGCAATAACAAGAATGATGCTACATCCTAACTCCCTCAGTTACCATCTTTAAGTCCATTTTACATGCAGGTGCCTACATCACTACTGCCTGCAATGCTAACATTGCATCAGGTAAGAACAACATGATAGTTAGATGCTGCTAGGGCAGAACAAAAATTAGTTGAAAGGACTTACAAACATCCTAAGATGGCTCTGGTCCCTGTCACCAGGCAAGCTCAAGGCTGGCACAACAAATGTGGTGACCATGCTTTAGGTTAATGTGACCATTTCCTTAAACATCTTTTTATCTAAATTATAATGATCCCCCAACAAAAACTACTGTAAGCTTGGGAATCAGCTGCTCATCACAATTCATGTCAGTTTATCTGATGCATGAACCAATGTGTTCATAATTGCCTCATATCAGGGAAGTAACAAATCCTCTTAATTGTAAAAGGGTTAGACCACCTTATGCTATGATAATGTTAGATCAGCACAGGTTCTTTCCTCCCTTCTGAATGTAACTCTACCTGAAACTCCCATATACAATTTGGGCATTGAAAGATGTCTCATACACTGCACAATACTAATATGGTTGACTGCATGTAAGAAACCTATACAGGTACTTCCCACCCCAAATTAGCTCCCCCACACCCATACTTCCACCTATGAAAGCCCTTGTTGCTGCAGCAGCAGCCAGGGTTGTAAAACAGCAGCCTATTGCTATCTGGTGTTGTGCTACAGTCAACTGGTGCAGTTTATGACAGCACTGGGCATACCCTAAAGAGATTTGCTCTCTATGGCCTAACATGCTAAAAAATATCAGACACAAGCAAATAGGAATGGAGTGCCTGGAACTGGTTAAGACTGGATAGGTCTAGATGAGACTGCACAGGACCAGATCAACCCAATAAAACCAGACAGGATCAGATGGGATGAATGGAATTGTGCAGAACCACCTGGGACCAGACAGCACAAGTCAGGATCAGATGGGTCTGGATGGGACCAGGCAGGACTGAACAGGATGGCATATGGCTAGGCTGGGCTGAGTCTGCATAAGAGGCTCCATTATGCAAAGCTGATACCTTTTTTTGAACACAGCTTTTAAGGTGAGCCCAGTGCAGCCAACCTCATCTGATACCACCCAGATGAGGTCTGGTCCAGTTGATCTTTCCACATCTAGAAAAATAAATTTAATGGATCATTTAACTAATACATGTCTCATGGGTTAAATGAACAGAATACACCAGCTGGGTCCAGCACAACACTAGCAGGTATACATCTGCTGTGTTGAAATCTTAGTAACTGTACACATACAAACCAGAGTAACAGCTTATCATAGAATGGAAAGAAGTGCTGATTCAGGGCATTGAGGACATGTCTGTGATAATGGCATGTGTACAAATGCATTGGTATTACTTTTTGTTACACTAGAAAATTTCTAGTATCAAGAGTGTGGGGTTTTGCAGTATGGGTATAGGCTCTTCTGGGATCAGTCAGGGTTATTTGAACTCCACAAGTTTTGAGCAGATTGGCTATTTTTGTGTTAGCCATGTAAAACAGCACCAAAATGCATGCAGATACCAACAGCATTTAAGGTGCAATCAGTTGTATATGTGGCCTTACATATAATTCTCCACAAATAGGGGCTGTGCCCAGTAATACTGACAAAATTTGCCAGAAAATATAGCATTTGACATATTCCTGCCACAAAAAAACACTGAATATGTGGTTAAACATAGTAAATAATCATCAGGACCATCAATGATAACAAGAAGCAACATAAATTATAACCATTAGCACCATCACCATCTTAGCAAAAACATGTCTGACATTTTCAGCTTTATTGCCAAATACCTGAAATTGTGCACATGTGCATCCAATTGGCTTCAAGCTAAATGCACTTACTGTGTGTTTAATTATTGCTTGAAACTATTTATGTGTATTTCTGTATGTATTTCTGCACTCTGTGTCAATAGCCAGACTGCAAGAACACATTTTGTACCAAACTTGCCCGGAATAGTAGGAGCATCACAGGAAAATTTCAGTGTGTGCGCAGAATACATCAGAGAGCTTACACATTTGATGCCCAGTCACTACCAGTCTGTGCAACAAAGCCAATCTTACAGGGAATTCATGTGTTGTAAGGGTGATTTGAGAAAAAAACACAGATGTGTTTTATAAGCCCCATGTTTTCATAAAACATCACACAGGCCAGAAACTCACATGGGCTAGTATGAGGTTCAGCACACCAATGCCTGTAAGTGTGCAGGGCATGGATGGATTATCTGTAGGCTGGAATTATGGCTCTGACAGTGTAGGCACTATCAATGAAGTATAAACAATTTTGTGAGTGACAACAGACCTTTAAGACTTGTGTTTCTAGCTTACCTTCTTCTCATGGACGACATTTTCTTCACCTCGTGGGTGCCAGGCAACCAGAATGTGTCCATTCTTCACCTTTTCCATCTCTTCTGATCCAGACTCTTCCTCATCAGTATCAACGTCCGCATTTTGAAGAACCATCCCAAACTCAAGGTTTCCTTTCTTTGTGATGCGATACACTTCATCTTCATAAAAGTAAATGCATTCATTTGCTGCCATCACGTCTAAGAATGTCGCAACTTGCAAAATAACTTAGTCCCACGCCTGGCTTCTACGCCCACAGCTGCGCAAGATTCGAGGCACCAACTCACGACGTCGGTCACGAACCCGCTATCGGTAACCGTCTTCGAATAATCGGATCAATCGAACAAGAACGGGCAATTCAGTTCATATGGTGGGGTGTGCAGAAAGCACATCGATCTAGCCTGTGCGCTACAATGATCAGGGTGCGCAATGCGCTAATGTTTTAGCTATCGCATAACGCAATGCGGAGGTTCTGACGCAGAAGAGACATATGTGACTATATTGTCTCGCATTCATCTTGCGCATTTCAAGGCCACTAAGAGATACCGTAGCAAAATATGAGTGCTGCCATGAAATGAGCTGAAGATAAAATGCGAACCACATTCCTGTCTCGTACCTTTGTTACACTCCCTAAGTGCATCTTAGACGCAGGGGGTCCGCGCAAACTAGGTAAGCCAGCATATCCCTTGCACCAGACCACAATTCAACATTATCAGAACGCTCCTGTGCCAAGAGGCATCAGCCTGGAAGCATCTCTCTATTATGTATATATATACTCCCGGATCTACTGCATGGAATGACGACGCTCGAAAAATCATCGCAAAGAATGCCTATGCTGCTGTTCTTCTTTTAATGAGTGAGGATCCGCCTTCATCCCCATAGCATGGTCAGGAGTGACGCCACTGACATCTATGGGGGAGCAGATCCAGGAGCATCCTAAGCAGATTTGAGGGACTAAATCCGAACCAATACCCCCCCCCCCAAAAAAAAAACCTTCGGATGACACCCTCTTCTTAACAGACTTACAAACTACACGGTATGTAAACCCGCCGGCATACACGCCCCCCCCCCCCCCTTGAATGTGCGAGGACAGGACAACGTTTGCCGCCTACAGAAATAGTAGAGGTGGCCAATTATCTAACCCCGCCCCCCTCCTGACGGTGTCGGCCCTGCACCAATACAATTCTAGACCTCCATACCACCATTAACAAACATCACCAGTGGGCACTCCCGGAGGCCTTGCGCGAGTTCGCATTCCGAGCGCAGATCATCTGGCAGGTTTTCCTAGCGTAGATATGCAGGGCGGTAAGATTTCTGAGCGTAGATAATCCGGAAGAAGCCCTTCCGGCAGCCGGTTCCCCAAAGTTGACCTACCACCTCCCACCCGTGTCAGCCTCAAGGTACTGCCAGCATGTGGGGAAGCCGTTATGCGAGTGTGTTGGCCGCGTTGGTCAGTCAGCCATTCTGCGTAGCCTGCTGAAGGCAGCGGCGTGGGAACTGAGCTGGAAGCGGAGGTTTCATTCGCTCCAAGTGGTGCACCTCGTGCCGCCAGCGACGCCCGCCATAGAACTGTGGCTCAAGATCAGGTGTTGTTTTCCAAAATCAGTTGGGGTTGGGGAGGGGGGGGGGGGGCTGAATCCGCCAAAAATAAACACCACCTCCGTTTTCAAGCGAGGTTTATTTTGTGTCCAGATTTGACTTCCTTTCGCAATTTGGACGGCTGACAACAAAATCCAACATCCGGGTGCCGAGGGTGGGTGGGACACCTCCAACGGAAAACAAAACCACACCCCTGATCAAGATTCGGAGACAACTTATGCTTGTGTCTTTCAAGTGACATGTATTTCACAGCAAAAGACCACCAAGCTTGGCCGTTTGCCGCGGTGGACGCAAGCATATGCCATGCACTGCAAGAATATGCCGGTATAGCACGGGGGCGAACGGGATGCCGTTTACATTCACAGGTGGAGAAGTTGAACAGCCACTGAGCCCACGCAAAGATGATCATCATGGATCCCTTCAGCGGCTCAGGCACAGGATGATGGGAGCGCCCATCAACAATCATCAGCGTCACACTTTCCACAACAGTTATTTTCTTCCAGACTTCCCGGGAGGCACATTGCGTGACTTCCTTTTCTCCTGTCCCAATGGGGTGTCCCATTCCACACGGAGGGGATAGAGACGCTCGCGAAAGCTTCCCGCCTGTCGCTTCCCACGTGTCCCATCGCCGCAGCTGCTCACCGTCCTCTGTGAGACACACAACTGCCACGTGACTTGAGGCTTCTCCCATGCGGTCACAGGCTCATCAGCGTCCATCACGAGCCAGCGAGACCACCGCTCCCACGTCAGCCTTCGCCCCTACGTGGGAGGCGGAGGAGGGCCGGCGGCCGTCCAGTGGCAGTCGCCTGAGGGCAGCGGTCCGCCCCGCCCAGCCAGCCGGCTGGGGAAAGCGGTCCTCCCTCGCCCCGGCGTCGGTCACGGTGCGGGTGATGATGATGGCGACCGTGCTAGAGGCCTAGCCGGAACAGCCGCGACAGCCGCAGTGTATGCACTCCACCACACGGCCCTGCAATACAGACGGATCGGTGTGAAAGTGCGGCCTGCGGCACAGACTCACACGACCGTCACAACACGGGCTGTGACAGAGTGACGACCGTCACAACACGGGGCTGTAGCGGACTGACATCATCGCAACACGGGATATGATGACTGACGCCGGTCACAAAATGCGCCCTGACGGACAGACGACGGTCACAGCACGGGCTGTGACGGATTGACGACGGTCACACCACGAGCTGTGACGGTCTGACAACCGTCACAGGGCAGGTCGTGACGGGATGCCGATTGTTGAGACATGCGGCCGGTCATCAAAACACGGCACCTCAGCGGACGGTCTTCTAAACAAGCAATTCAGCAGGTACGACAGCAACAAGCCACTGCACAGACGCCACGAAGGAAGCACCAGCAACGTCAACTTTATTCATCCCATAGCTCGTCAACACGTTAGCGCTACAACCCTTGCCATCGTAAACTTGCACACTATCATTTCAGACTGCTTTCCGTTGTACGTGCGTGCGATAAAGAGACTTCAACTAGCGTCATTGACAAGACGTCCGGAGAGCTGTCAATTGTTGGATGACATCGATACAATTGTGACAGCCGAAGTTCAGAACCTTACACGACCACGACAATATAGCATGACACAAATCTGCGCTGTGCTTTCCGATATGTGGTAAGATCGCACCGCCAGACCCCGCCCAACAGAAGACCACCGGCTGGTGAGACGAACTGAGACCAGCCACAGCCGTCGCCACCCTGGCGTCGCGTCTCACCTCCTCCAGCTTCGCCTTGGGCACGCGGCAGATGCAGTTGGTGGCGAAGTTGGTGTCGCGCGTCTGGATGCAGCGCAGGCAGCACAGGTTCTCGTAGCCCTGCTTCTTCCACTTGGCAATCAGGTTGCCGTCGGCCATCTTCTCCTTCAGGCAGTAGTCGTAGAGCTCTGCGAAGCACCGTTCTCATGTGAGGCCACCGTAAGGGTTTCAACTGCGGTGCGCGAACCGTCAGGGCCTGCGGGGGAGGGGGCACTCTGTACTCTACGTGAAGGAGCTGCATCTTTGTCACAACTTCTTGCCCCTTATCACGACACTAATGTAATTTAGAAGTAACGACACATATCGGAGTGATTTAACCTTTCCAGCACAAAAGAACCGCCATCGAAATCAGACGAGTTGTTGGATCTGGGATCACGTTAGATTACCCAGCTCCGCCCTCGACACGCTCCAGTATCTTTGGTATAACCTTATGAGGCAGCAGGGATGCAGCTGAGGAAGAGCCACGGAGTTAGCAAACTCCCCCTCCTGAGCCAACAAGATTAAATAGATGCTGGCACTTTAGCAGGAATTTGATTCAAGTTTGCAGGATTTTGGAGATAATTTAACACCTTCCGACAAACATTTCAGTTACACGCCTGACAGTCACAGAGTTAGCTAGCTGTCCTCTCATTATGGAAAAATGTAACTCCTGTGGTCCTTACCGCCGCCACCCCTGTTGGACGACCAGGTTAGTGAGTTCCTTATGGTCGACTGACTGATTACTGGACTTTTCGGGCGTATCGACAGTTCAGGTCATCTCAACACGACTTCACCCATCCATGAGTTTCTCAGGGATTAACATTCCAGCTTGCTTCCCGTTCACGGCGCACTGCTCAACTGCAATCCAGCCGTTCCATATGTCGAGCCAAAGTTGGGCCAGCTGGGCTGCACGAAGCCTGTTGTGACAACCATCTCACATCAAGTCACCTTATGGCGGCACGGACCCACCTCAGCAAGCATGAGCTCCGCTGGATGGGCCGAGTGACAGCCATCTTGTATCAAGTCACCTAATATCGGCATATACCCACCTTAGCAAGCACAGACTCCGCTGGACGGGCCGACCGACTCGGGATGGGGAAGGGGGGGGGGGGGGGAGCAACGATTCTGCGAAGTTCGGGCTTGCTAGGCTAGGTTTAACTTGGCATTATAGGTGGCGAGCACACAGAAGTGGTACCTTAATGATGACCCTGTTTCAGTCCGTAGCGGTACAAAAGCGCATTCTGCCCAGCGTCATTCTTTTACGCTGACTTACACGCAGGTAAAATCGACTGACAGCGTTCGGTCCAAGCGTCATGCTGAATACACGGATCCCTTCGGCGCGACCCGAGCGACCGGCAGGGCAAACTCGGCCACCGCCATTCAGCCCGCAGACGGCACGCACCTCTGGAGATGGCCTTGCGGCGGTAGAAGAGGTCGAAGATGTAGCGGGACTTTTGATGGTGGATCTTGAAGATGGGCCAGAGCGACTCGACCTTTCGCTTGCCCTCGTGCGGCTCCGTCTCAGCTGGGGAAGAAATTGACGTTGACATTGACGTTGATGTGTATTTGGATAATTCCGAATAAACTTCGGGCTATTACTATCCATCGTCGGCACGTAAATAGACGATTCAAAGGTCAAGACGACAGAGACAGAAATACGACACACAAAAACGCAATGAAACAAACGCAAAAGCAGACCAGTCAAAACTCCGCCGCACAGACGGGTCATGGCACCTTCAGAAGTCCCGCAAGAGGTTTCTTCACATGCTTTGGGGGCCACACAATCAGGGGGAGTCGAAGATAGCCCGGTAGTTCGCTATTCATCTTGGGTGCGCGAATAGAAAAACGTCGTTTCTCCATTTCAGCACGCGAACGAGGCATAAACAGATTACTCGAATGGAATATCTCGTGGTTGAGAGTGAGGACAGGCGGCGATGACAATATCTTGTCATTGTTAGGAGAGGCGCTCAGATTTAAGCGTTCCCCTTATGCGCCAATCCACTCATCATATTATGTAATGCTTAATGTCCGTGATAAAAATAAACACCAAATCGAATCAAAGGGTGGTGGGATACCTGCTTAGATCTGCA